GTTCAAACCTGGGGTGATAGTTGAGAGATGAATGCTTTCATCTGAAATCTGTTGGAGACCTGGATTGAGGGCCCTCCTTTGCCTGCTAGGATTCACATTTTCTTCCCTAACCTCTCAGTTGTATTGATCTAGAAGTAGAAAAAGTAATGTGCAGAAAAGTTCTTTAAGAGATTAGTGGTATAACATTAACATTTAAAATTGGAGAGAGACATTTTGACAAGTAACATGCTGTGAATCAGATTTTTGTTGCTGAAGGATTGTCAGCAAGGTTTCATCTTTTCTGTGTATATTTTGAAAAGCCAAGAGAATCAGATGCTCTTCTTTCGTAAGCCTACAGAGACTTGATTTTTACCTGTGCATTGAGGAAAATGAACTTTTAACTGCCTTCAGAGCATGGCCACGTTATTCCTTGTCATTAACTCTGGTTGGCTTAAGAGCAGAATTTATAAGCAGAACTTCAGGGTATAGAAAAATAACAGTAGGAGATGAATATGTAAGTAACAAATACTGTGTTTCCATGGAATTGTGGGGAAGGAAGACAAATAAATACATTTTACATATATTACCAGGGATGCAAATAGACGATTCTCTGTGTTGTAAGAGAGGAGAGAAAAACACTATTGAAAATGCTTCTCAGGGGTTGATGTCTGCCATCATGCATTCTATGTGTTCATGAGGGGGAAAAAAGTGTGGGTTTTTTTTCATTGCTAACTTTTGTACAATGGGAACATACAAAATACAAATCCTGCTTAATGGGAATGTTATTATATATTTATTGAGAAGTAATGTCTCTTCCCCAGATAATTTATACAAAGAAGTCATCAAGGACAATAGTTTGGAGAATTAGTAATTAAGTTTTTTTAGAATATTATGCATACTTCTATTAGAATCCAGTGGAAAGCAGAAATTCTTCTATGTGTTGATCAAATAAAATCAGACTAACATTATTACAAAGTACTATCCTGTGGTGGGAAAGGTTTAGGTCCTTTGCACACAGCTTTGTGTTAGACAACTCAAAAGCTGAACATTTTTTATTTACTGCAGTAAGACAGATATATGAACCAAATATTTGGAATAGACGTCACTATTTTTTTTGCAGTGCTTACGGTTAATAATGTATTTATGGCTAGATTGACAAAAAAAGGTTCAGGATTTAGTGTTAATATAGTGGAGACAACCTCAAGAGATAGTTTCTTGCACTGTGAGCAGATCAGTGACAAGGTTTTGTGACAGTTCTCACTAGGCTCTTCTGGTGCTTCATTGACCTCAAAAAGCCTTTGCTCTTATGGAACCATAGTCCTTTTCCTTGCTTGGTGAATTACACACAGTGTTTATAGAGGGTGAGAGGGAGGGTATATGAAAATAAACTTACATAGACATGATTTCAAACAAATAGTAACTTTTGGTCTGAATCTTAAGTTTCCCACAGGGAAGCAGCAGTATCAAAGTGGGCAGAGATACCTTTACAGACAGATTGAATTCAGACCTGCATGGAGATGAAAAGCATCTGGTTGCACCATAATATTGTCCTTGGAGGTCCATCTATATTCATTTTGTACCAATGAGCAATTTCAAGTCTTAAAATTTCACAGTTTGGCACTTGGTTTTGAAGGATATACTTTGAGCAGTTAAAAGCATAACTTCTTATCTGGCTTTTTTCTTGATGAGTTTGTTAGTACTCTTCTGGAATTCTTGTGTAAATAGGAAAAAACTCTCTAAACAGAAACTTTAATAAAGCTGTTATTTCCAGTTCTAGTGCAGTGTATGACAGCACAAAGTCAGGTGACTTACTCACAGATGTCATTGTCATGCAATACGTTCCTTAAAACAATGGATTTCCACAGTGTGAACAATAAACTCTGTGCTGGAGAAAATACTTCTGATAAGACATCCAATAATACTCAGTATCTCTGTTTTTAACTTTGTCCTATAATGGAAAGTTTTTGTGAAGTTGTTGATCTGAGCCCAGTTGATCTCAGCTGTCTCTTACAATTCCTGATTCTGATTTCTTCTCTTCCTCATAAAATTTTTCTTTTCTTTTAAAAGTAAACTGACAAAATGCAACCTTGCTGTCCCCTTTTCCTCAGGTCTTTCACATACTTGTCCCTAAATCCTCTATTTTCTTCCTTCTTATAGCCACAGAAAATATACTTTGGTTTATGTTGTGTAATCTTTTTCTACCCAGTAACATCATTGTGTCTTCTAATCCGCTTCACTTTCCTTCTTAACATTTCACTTTGTCTTATGTTAGGATTTTTCAGTTCGTAACTAAAAAGCAGAGTGGTTTTTTTTAATCCATTTAGGTCAGCAGGAAACAAAATGAATTGAAGTTGAGGTTCTTTTAGAGTGAAAGGGAAAACAAAGTACTAGTTACATTTTTCCTTCAGTGAATTTGATAGCTTTATTGTAATGTCTTTTCTATGTCCCCACAGTTTTGTAGCAAGGAGATCTATAAATTTATTGTGAAATAACGGTTATACAACATTCATTTGTTTTACTCAAACCTGCAAAAATATTTTGGTTAAGAAAATACTGTAGCAAAATATTTAATTAGAAACTCTCTCCGGATTTTCATCTAGCTTACATCTACCAGTTCTTTCTGTGCAACACGTCTAAGGAACAGTCATTTAGTTGCATTTCCGTCCCCTTAGAGTTCTGAAGCATCACCTTGGTCTTCTCATCCCACCTTTCAGCTGGTGAGATCCTTTTGCCTGGCCTTGAGAAAGGCAGTCTTGTCCTTCTCTTATCCACTCAGAATTCTGCTGTAAAGGAATGCTATTTCTAGTCTGTGCTTATGTAACTTTGTAGAACCACACATTGAATTTTTCAGTTGTTTTCCTCCTTCTCTATTATATTACACAGAAGCTACTTGTCTTCTCTTTCCTGGTACTTCAGGAATCATTTACACTCAGTAGTCACTCATTTACTATTGAGTATTTCTAACAGGTTAAACCTTACTCTGATACCCATTGTAGCGAATTTGACTCTGTCATGAACTGGTTTCTAGGTCCCTCTTAGGACATCAGTAAACTGTACAAATAAATCCCAATTAGGCAAAGACACTATCATCATCTTCTCTCAGCATGTCAAAGCCCTTTGAGGATTTGGGGACAGTGTTACTCAGCTGCCTGCTTTGTGTTATATCTTTTTTTTTTTTGTGGGCTTGCAGCATGATCGCAATCAAATTTGAGACCTAAGCGTTGAACAGTGTCAGGTGGACTGTGCTAAAATTCCTGGCTCGAGAAAATAATAAGGTGAATAAGCACCACAGGGATAATGGGTTGCAATTTTAAAATGCCAGAAAGCTTAAGTAATAGCTGCAGTTGTGACAGGCTGAGCCTTCCAAGTGTGCTATGTATCCTGTGACTGCTGAATCAAGTCATCTTTCTTTTAAACTTTCCATTTTGTTCCTTCTGTTAAGTTAGGAATCAAAAGTTTCCTGTTCTATGAATGACAAGAATCAGAGAATGAATGTATACTTATAATTAGTTTTCAGCAATTAACAATTTGCAAGCAGTTTGAAATTTATTCTTGGCGTTGAATAAAGAGCTTTTGGAGAAATAACCAAAGATTTAAAATTCTGAATCTGCAGCTTGGGAGGGGGAAGTCAGAGAAACTTGTTGAGGTCCTTCTTCAGTAGTAAGAATACATTTGCTAACAACAGTGAATGTTTATTAATGAGGAACTGGATTGCTACTTGAAACTTCTGCTAGACTTTTGGGAAATGTTCTGTTGAAAAGAACTAGTTAAAATGTCAATAAGAGGGATATTATTGTAGAATCATGTCTTTTATAATTTGAGATTCTATAATGCATGTGGGCTCTACATGTCAGCTGAAGTTACTTGCTTATAAAGTTAACATTTGTCTTGATGAGGATTTGTGCTATTTAGGTTTTAGGTCTGATCTTATGCCCATGTCAGCTGGAAATCATAGACACATTTGGAATCTGGAAGAATCAGCATCACAATATCATCATGACTCCTTGAAAGAGTGATGCTAGGTTCCCAAATGAGTCAGGCCATATTTGAAAAATCTGTGGACCCAGTTTACATTTTTTTTCTGAGAGACTCAGAGGGATGTGCTGATAATTCAGAAGTCTCTCCTCAGATACCAAGTACTTTGCCATTCCATTGGCTACTTGCCATCCAGTTTTATTGTTTTCTGTTGTTCCACTCTTATGTGCCAGTGCAAATGAAAATAGGAATATCCATGGTGTGATTAGCATTGCAGCATAAAGAAAATGTATTTTTTCCTTTTTTTAAGGCCAATAATGAGGAGTTAAAATGATAAAAATTAGTATTAGAAATTCCTATTAAAGATGTGATGTAGTGAGAATGCGTGAAAGATCTAAATTTTTGGAGGCTTTCAGGGTGGAAATGAAAGTTTTGCTTCCTGAGCTTTGGATGGCATTCTTCCTTTCCCACCCAAGACAAAGGGACTATTGCTGTTCGATATCCCTGGATCAATTAAATTCCTTGTAAGCTAATTTATGTTAGACAGAGTGCATTTTTCTAATTGCTTTTGTTCTGTTATTTTACTACTCAAATTCTCAGTCTAGAGAATAACCTTTACAAAGGATGAATAAGAATTTTCTGCATTTTATTGTCTTCAAGGTTCCACTGATGTTTTCCATTTTTGAAATATACAAGATCCAAGGTTCAGTGTTTTCCAGGATGCTGACAAATTATGTTGCAGGTATTACCTCAGAAGTTGAAGTAAATAGGGACCATAAAGGCTGTTCTTCATCTTCTGCTGTTATTTCTCCTTAATCATGAAGCAGTGGAAGCGCCTCAGATTTGTTTTAATTTCAGACCACTTTATTTTTACCTCTAACAATTGCAAATGAAGTATGTATTAAGAATATACATTTCTTACTGTGTGATTGAATGGAATTCGTTATTGTCACTAAGTTGCTGTCAGAATTTTCTTTGCATTATTCTAAAAACCGACTTCCCAGTAACATCATTCCATAACACACAGAACTTTTTATGTTTTATAGGGTTGTGACTCTCAAATGAGCATGTCAGAAGTGTCCTGCAGTGAAAGTACCTCCTCTTGTCAGTCTCTGGTACATGGCTCAGCTCCAGAAATCCTCATTGGCCTCCTTTATAATGCTACAACTGGAAGATTATCAGCAGAAGTGATAAAAGGCAGCCACTTCAAAAACTTGGCAGCGAACAGACCACCCAGTGAGTGAAAAATCTTTTTTCATCCTAATGCTTCTGTACTGGTGGGGCTCTCAGTAGCAAGGACTTCAATCCTACCACTTAGTCTTACCCAATCAAAATGAAATAGAGCAATCATCAACTAATCTGTTTCATGTTTTATATTTCTAGTCAGTTGGGAAATAGCAAAAATCTAAAATTCAAAATATTAATTGTAAGTTGACAAGCCTGTTTTAATTTTTCATGATGACTGACTAATAAATTACCTTTATCATAATGATTAATTGCTAAATTACTAATGCCTCACATCACAGTCCAAGAATAAAAAAGTCAGTGTTTAAAGAGAAAGTACATGCCAGTTAATATTAATATAAACATTCTGAATAGTTATTGCCGCTCCTAGAGGGGTTGATACTGCAGTCTTTAATTGTTTATGTGCCTGTATATGTGTGGTAATATATGTAATTTGGGAATGTCAGTAAAGACAAGGAGCAACTACTTGAGGCCTTTGCATATTTACTGTACAGGAGGAATGTTCACCTCAGAAAGGACTTGAATTATGTCTTCAAGCATTTGTTCAAAAATACATGCCTGAAATATCTGTGAACTTTATATACTTCCTAAGTGGAGCCAGATGGAATGTCACAGGGAGAGAATGTTATTGCTGTCTCTAGCTCTTTGACATAGCTTGAGAAAGTTCGGTAACAAACTCTTAAAAATACATTTTTATTGTTTTTTAAGATGGTGTGTCTGATTTATGTAAGTGTTAATAAGAAATACCTACCTGTTCCTTTTGATTTTGTCTGGAGGATCAGGTTTTAGCTACTCTTTCTGGTTTTTAAACCCCAGATTAATGTGGCACGAGCAGATTATCTGCTACTGGATTATGTATTAGGCTGCCAACATTTTGTAAGTGGTTTGCATGTTTCACTTCATCTTCAGAGTTTAGGAAGTAAGCCAGACTTGATGCTGACATTCTCTCCTCTTTCTCATTTTCTTGACCCATGTTTATTCTATTCATAATTGGCTCACCTTACTCTGCTTTGCTTTCTCTATACTTTTCACACTGATGGAGCCAGACTTTGTTAACATGGCCAGAGAAGGAAGGTGATAGATGAATCTCTAATGCTTTTGTATATTTGGGTGGATGCCCCAGAGTCACCTATTTGGAGACAAAGTGTAGAAAGTGTTGGGGAAAGCCAAAGAGGTCCAAGGACACTGAGATGTGGGAAAAAATGAAAGGGACAGGAAAGACCATGTGTTCCCTTAAAGTAAAACCAGATGCTTGTCTTTCTGGAATCTCAGAGATGGCCAGTTTTTATTTAATATTTAGAATATGCAAGTTAGGAGAGGTTCAGCACTTGCTTTGAAAACAGAGATGCTCATTCCCTAGTATGTTAATTCCCAAAATGTGCTCAGTGGGCCCATGCTGTGTAGCTAGCAGTTGTGAGTGTCACTGGGGTCAAAAATCTGTTTCAGATTGTAAGAAAGGAACATAAAACATGGTACATAGTTCTGTAAAACCATGTTCTGTCTAACCTTTTTGGAGGGAAGAGCTTCCATGCTACCTTTTGTCCCTGTGAAGGATAGGGGGAAGATTTAATATTTGTTAATAACAATAGTCCAGTTCTGTTTAGGCAAATGTGGGTTCGGAGTTCTGTTATTCCTAAAAAGCTGGAAACTAAGGAATTTTCTGGGTCTGGTAAAACCATGCACAGAATATTGTGGAATCCACATTTCTCCTTTGGGCTGTTTTGTGCCATCACCCTCCCCTCCCCCCCCATCAGTGGTGGCACCTTTTAAGCTCCTGGACTCAGATCCCTGCCACCGCCATACCCAACTCCCTGCTGAATACATCGTGGACATCTGCCAGCCTCAGTCTGTGCCATCATATCCACAAAATGAAAACCAAGGCCTGTAGGGATGATGATGATGAAGAAGAAGAAGAAGAAATGTCCTGGTCACATGTGTTGTTTAGACTATCAATGGTCCAAAATCCTGAGAAGGACTGCAAAGTGTATGAGCAGCTCAGTTTTCATTCACGTATTGAGGAGCTGTGATGGAAATGGAAGCAATTACTCTCTCCCCCATTTCTGTAGTCTAGGGCTTGGCAACTTAGGAATTTTTGTCAAGTGCTTCTGCAGCAAATATGAACTGAACACTAAATTTCTACTTCTGGTTAGTACATGCACCTCTGCTGCATATTTATGTTACATAGTAACTCATTTATCAATTGAGTACAGGCAAATAGGCCAAGTCCTGCAGGCAGTAACAGTGGATGTGTCTTCTTTGTTTCTCTGTGTGACAGTTAATATTTTGTCTGACAAAAAGATGCTTCTCAGTTTTCTTTAAAGTTTAGTTGAAGCAGGGTATGAGCTTTTGCATATTAAATGCATGCAAACACACATTAAATCTATAAATATGTGGATTTTAATAAGCAAGATCTTTACATCTGCTGAATTTCAGATATAAGTGTCCCTCAGCTCTTTTTAGAGATTACATCAGAGTCATTCTTGTGCCCAAGTTCATCACTACTCAAGAACTGAAGTACTACAATGAATTATCAGTAACTAGAAAAGCTAAGGGCAAAACCAGCTTGGTTTTCAGTTAAATGATTTTTCATTTTATTGTTTTTAATATATGAGGTTTAATTACTTAAATGTGCAGTTTTTCTAAATATGCTGGAGTTTGCATGAAAAAGCATAAGGTTTGATAATCATATAATGATTTTACCCAATCTGCTATAACTTAATCATTTGTATGATTCTTGCAATGGTAAGTGTGGCTTAGAATCCAGTGTCTATTAGTCCTAAGATAATCCATTATGTAAGCAATGTAATTTTTGTTAAAGATTACACAAAAACTGCACAAAATTTTCATTTCATTAAATTTTACCTAACGATCCTTTTGTTCAATCCTTTTTCTGATCTGTGCTGCTAAGGTTTCATGTTCTTCCATTCCAGTGAATAGTGTTTCCTCTTAAACTTTAACCTTTGATCCTCTCTCACCCAACTATTGACATCTGGTCATTATTTCTTTTACTGCTTTCCACCCCCTGTTGTCAGACGGACTGTTCTGTTGTCTAAAACACTTGATAGGTGGACAGGTTTATATAATCCGAGGTGAGTTCCTGTAGAAATTAATTGGATGTTGTCTTTTTCATGCAAAAGAAACCTGCCAGCAGTAAAATATCCACAGCTGCCTACCATACCAGTTTATAAAAATATATGTTTGGTTTTTTGTGGCACTCTTTAATTCAAAAGTTGCATTTATCTCTGATTATGGATGTTGGGGCTTCAGTGCACCCGCAAAGTGAAAATACTCAATATGGTTTTTTTAACATAAACTCTAACCTTTAATTGATATTATCCATTAATATGAAAATGAGTAAAAATTAAATACAAGATTGTTTAAAACAATCTTATATTTTCTATAATTAGTTAACTTTATGAAATGTACATCTGTCTGCAGGATCGTGGTTTGGTGCTTTTGGTCCAATGAAAATAGACATTTAAAAATAAGGGCTTATACCCAAATGCTAAGACATAATATGTGCTAACTACCTTACTTGCATCAGCTTCTTAAGTGTATGCTTAAAAGCACCATACAAGCTTCTCTTTGAACAATCATCTCAAATTATGTATGCAAAAACTTGCTTTTCTTTAAACTTGCAGTAAATGTATTCCTTCATGGATCTAGGAAATGATAGGGTTTTTTGTATTGTGTAAACTGACATTCTTGAATGCACTTTGCTACGTTTTGCTTTTCAAAATAAATAAAACTGAAAAGCCCAAAACGAGAACCACATCCATGCAGAGATTATTCTTAAGCATTTTTTCCTGGCTGTTTTGCTATCATTGCTGCATATTGACATAATTTTTTTTTCTCTTCGTTAATTGACTTTATTAATTGCATTTCATTTATCCATATTCTTTGGAATTTCAGTGGTATGCTTTACAGTGTTGTGGCTAGTTGGAGCTTGCTAAGTGTTACTGCAATTAAAGTTTTTTTAGACTAAATTGGGGGGTGGGGGGTCAATGGGAAGAGGATTATGAGGTATACCTTTAACATAACCCGTGTACATAGTACTGGAGCTAGTTCATTTGTTAGTGTGTTTGTAATATTTTATTTACTTGTCATCTCTCCATGTGTCCAAACTAAGCTGTGTTCAGCCATCCTGGTATACACCATATCCTTGTTCTTTGTAAATGCCTTTAAAGATTCTCCCAATCTTTCGTTCCGAGGTATCTGACACTCCACAACGTGACTTCTTTTGCAGACACGTATGTGAAGTTAACACTGCTCAACTCGATGGGGCAGGAGATGTCCAAGTGCAAGACTTCCATCCGCCGAGGGCAGCCGAACCCCGTGTACAAGGAGACCTTTGTGTTCCAGGTGGCCCTGTTCCAGCTCTCGGACGTGACACTCATCCTCTCCGTGTACAATAAGCGCAGCATGAAGCGGAAAGAGATGATAGGCTGGATTTCCTTAGGTCTCAACAGCTCAGGAGAGGACGAACTCAATCACTGGACTGAAATGAAGGAATCAAAAGGACAGCAAGTCTGTAGATGGCATACTTTACTGGAATCCTAATGGGTGGTAGAAGGTGCAGCCCGTGGTTCTAAGGGAGCTTGTTCTCCCGGCAAGATGATCGTCCCCGGTCGCAATCAGCAGATGCGTTGTGGGAGTGAAAAATGGAGATTGCGGTCGACATTCCATCACAAAGGATGCACAACCTGCAAAATGGTGGGATTTAACACAGAATCTTCACTTGGTGTCATGAACTCCCTTGGTGTCAGAGGAGCCTTGCTGTACACAGATACGATAGCGGTCCCTTCCCCACCCACCTGATGCTGTATTTGTTTGGGTTTGTTTTTGTGGTTTTCAATTCAGAAACATTCTGTGCGAGGTTCTCCAAATTAATGTAAGCTCCTCCTTGTGTACCTTTTGTATTGCTTTAATACTGTAGCTTCTGACCTGCCTGCATTCAGATTAAAGGTCAATATTTTGCACTTTGAGAAAAAGTTAATGGTCTGTAAAGCAAAAGCAAAAAAAGAAAAACCACTGGTGAAAGAACACTTAATAATATAGCAAATAGAAATATGCTGTTGTTTTGCACTGAGTTTCTTTCCAGGAGCTTGGTAAAGTAAGTTTTCGTTTTTTGATATGCAGTTGGTTTGAAAAATACTAGCATTTGGGCATCAGGTGAACTTTGACATCAAACTAATGTTTCTTCAATCTGTGACAGGAACGAGCTCTATATATGGCAAAAATTGGGTTTTTCCCTCTTGCCTGTACTTCTGCCTAATCCAAAGAGACCAGATCATTAGTTTGGTCCCTTCCAAAACTCCTTAGACAGGTTGTACTGTAAAACTATGTAACTTTCTGTTGAAAGCACTTCCTCTATTCATGTATTCCAATGTAGGAAGCTCATAGAGCACGACTTTACTAAAATATATTTTCATTAAACAAATTGATACAGGTTTCTTTAAAATATCAGCAGTTAGAAGTTAAGTTGAAAGACTGTGAAGGAAGTGGCAGCAGTTGAACTACTCTGAATAAATGCAAAATACTATGGCCTTGCTTGAAACAGGTATCCATTCAGGTCTCTTGTGAGTTGTTTTAGGCATTACCATATGCTGTTTGTTGGAAGTAGAGAGCAGACCAGGAGTTTTTACCTTTCTTCTTGAAGAAGAGAACATCAGTAGGTTTTTTTTTCCTAGTGATTTGCCAGCAATTGAACGAATGTTCACACAAAAAATAGAAGTTTGCTTTGCTTGTGTTCAGGTTGGGAAACATAGCTTTCTAATGATGCAGTTGAGAAGCTGCAGTATCACCAGATAAACACTTGTGGCATCCACCAAAATTGAGAAAATATCAGTGCTTCTGAGGTTCCTATTTGTCCCAAAGCCTTTAGCTGGACTCACAATAATTTACTGACTGCTGAATCTAAATCATATTGCTAAACTTATGCATTACTGAGTAAAAGTATTTTTAAAAAGCTTCCCAATTTAAATATTTTTTTGTCTGTTATTACAAGTTTTGTTTATTTTTAATTGTTCCTGTAAAGAAAGTAATTTTTTCTTATAAATGATGTCGATGTCTTACTAATATGAGACCTCACTGACTGTTGTAGCACTTGGTGGGTTGTTGAGGCAATTGGTGTTAGTCTAAAGTGTTCTCATTAGGACAGATGTGTTCCTCTTGAATTCCTTTTAATACCTTTGAACAATCCTGGCTTTGGGGTATACAGACAGTCAGGTACAGTGAGACTGCTGATGGTATGTATGCTGTAATAAAAATATTTCACATGGTTCTCAAATTCTCACACTATTTAACAATTTCATTAAGTCCTTTTTAAAGGATTTTGTAATTCCACGTCTTGGTTTATTTGGTGTCTTTTGAGGGATTTATTTGCAGAGCCGCACTTTCAGTTTTTGTTGATTTAAAGATTTAAACATTATTACAGGCCTGTGGTTTTGTTTTTCTCCTCCTGAATATTGTGCTGCTGCTTCATCTACAGAAGCTTTATTTACTAAATACAAATAATGCAAAAAACGTTCTTTAAACAGGAATGGTCTTGCAGTAATACAATGCAGGTTTGTCTCTCTCAGTCGTTTTTGTTAGTCCAGTTTGAGAAATTTAATGTTGAGTGTAGAATTTAATACAAAATCAGCATTAATTTTATATGCATAAGGAAAATGCTCAGATTTTCACAATCTTTTCAGCTTTCCATATAATATAAGCAATGACGTAGAAGCTGTTGTAAAGCAGTTTTTCACTGGGTGTGGAAGTGGTTTTATCTATTCTGTTTGTGGATATTTAGATGCTCTTTTCTAAAACTTAAAATTGTGTCTTGATGGTTGTCTCTTTGTACAGTTTTACTATTTAAAATAATGTACAATATTGAACTGGGTCAGTCAGTTCCAGTGGAGAACATAGTTAACATCATCACTGAACAAATGAAGAAGTCAGTTTGGCAGGTGCAGCAAATGACCTCTTACAGAACCAAACTAAACTAAATTAAACTGTGTCATGATTTGGGTTTCTGTTTGTAGGTTGCATTGCTTCAGCTTTGCATTTCAGCATTTAGATTTCTAAGGCACTGAAATCTTAATTTAGACACAACAGAGATTTATGGTACTCTGTGTTGGGCTCGTTTGGGAGGAAAAATCTCTCTCTAGGACTTTAGGTAAAGTATCTGGGACCAGTCTGTGCTTCACAGAAGAAGGATTGGTTTACTTGGATTTATACTGTAAAAAGGCTAGGAACTGAATGTGTAAGGATTGGAAATGAATGTTTAATTTTGACTGCAGTAGGATATGGATTTGCCATGCAAAACCAGTCACACCAATAACTGGATTCATCTTGGGATTTTTGTGAGTTAATTGTAGTACCACTAGCTGTCATATTGTTTTTTTTTCTTCTATTCTTACTATTTGATTTGTTTTTAATTTTGTTTTTCATTGCTTATGCAAACCTACACCTTTGTATTTGAAATCTGCCTTCAGCTATCGTGGGTTTTTTAAACCCTACATAAGGGCTTGCACACACAGTTTTTTGCATTCAGTTAGGTCTTAAGCACGGAACAGAATTGCTGAAGAACAAAGTATCAGTGACAAATTAGAGGCACTTGTATTTTCCCCAGAGTTGGCTGTGGTTTTTTTTTTTCATAGCTTTTTGTTGTTTGCCTTTGTTCAAAAGTACAGTAAGTACTTGAAAAAATGTATCAAATTAATTACTTTTCTGTGTGCCAGCAAACCATGTAGAAGTTGCAGATCTTGAATTGAATCTGTTTCTTGTCAGTGTAGCCTTAAATAATTGTAGAACAGTGATGTTCCTGCAGATTCTATTCTTGGAAGTATTGCATCCTTTCTTTATATGATCTGTTTTAGTGCTTAGAATATTTCCTATAGGTCGTCCTAAAGTATTATAAATGTGAAAAAGTTCCTTTCTGTTAAGGGCAAGGTTGTGAAGGGCAGGACAGCCAAGCATGAAATCACTGCACCGAAGGAGGAGAGGCTGTGCAGCAGCTGCAGGCCATCGCTGTCCCCCACATCCGCATTCCAGCCATGGGAGGCTGGAGGGCAGCAGAGCCATCCCGCTGCTCCCGTTCTGCCAGGGGACACGGGGAACGAGGGGAGCTCTGCTAAGATGCAAAGTTTGATGCCCGTGCTGCTGCCTCATGCTCTGGATGTGAGGTGTCCACGTTGCAGCTGCACTGGGAGGTCTGACTGCAAAGGCAGAAGCAAGGCAAGGTGTAAGGTCTACAATGGGAGAAATATGACACAATTTCTAAATGAAATGAAAGTCCACTAAACTCAGTAATAATTAGATTTGGACATCTGGGGAGCCCTTGGAATGAAGGTATGTGCTTTTGTGGGAGCTAAACATTGTTACCAATTTAGAAAAAGCTTGAGCTGAAAACAAGATTTTATGGCATTTACTGTTGGAAATATTTTTACCTGTAAATTTTTGCCATGACTTTTGATGGCAGATGCAGTACCATCAGTACCTTCCCGTTTTCACACCTTTGGAGCAATTCTTTTGTTGTCTAAAATTTGTGTTTGTGTTCTTGATTGATTTGCTCTCTCTTCTCCCCAGTGGCTCACTCCTGCATACCCTCCCCATGGCTCTGAAAAGCTGCCAGTGGCAGTCACTGGACCTTAGAGGTCAGGGATACTCTGTACATTAAGGTACTGGTGCAAAGTTTATTTGACCTCTCCAACTCCCCAAAATTTCTGAAATACAAACCATCAGTTTTAATATAGCGACCCAGAAGAAGAAAATCTCTTTGAGGGAGACATTTTCATGTAGGAATTGGGTACAGATCACTCTTACACATCCAAATTTTAACAAAAAGTCTGGGGTAAGATCAGGGAGTGAGGTTTGAGGGGAGGCCTTTTGGCCTGAGGTGTTCCAGCCTGAAACTAATAACAGAATGCCCTTTCATGGAACTCAGAGTAGTATTGACACCTCTACTTATGACACTTTTCTGGAGGAAAAAAAGCTGTCCTGTTTTCAGCAGTCTTTAAAATCAATCTGGTCACTTGTTTGTGACTTCCTTCTGAAGCTAAATTCTCAATAACAGTTAAACATCCTTTTAATTTTCCCACTGATGTGCGTGCTTGCCTGCCATTAATGTTAGTGGGAGGAGCCCACAGGCTTCAGGAGGAGAGCAGACCTCACCCTGAAGGTGTGAAGAGCAATAGGATTGGTGGGTTAGAGGGGTGGTACAGCCTGGCACCTGCAACACAGTCAAATATGATTTCAGTTATGAATGGAGGCAAAAAAACCCAAACATCCAGATATTGTCACAAACCTGTTATTTGTTCATTATCTCTCTTTTTTCTTCTTTCCCTCAGCTTTTGAAATATTTTTAGAACTTATTATTAAAAATGTTAAAGCAGTCCCTAAACATCTTGATTGTTTTAACTGGAATATTCAGCAATGTTTATGGTTAGAAGGAGACATCAAGAATGTTCTGGTTTTTTGGTCTTTGACTTAACTACTGGATTGTGTAGTACACCACAGCTGGATTTCAGTCTACTTTGTTCTGATGGTAGTTCTTGAGGGAAAAGTCACAGAAGCATTTCCTTGTTGGTGAAATCACTGACACCCATTGAAGAGATGTCATGTGAGAGCAAGAGCATCAAAATAAGAGATGGCTTCTTACAGTAGCAGTGATTCATATTTCTCTCTTGGAACCTTGTGGCCCTCGGAGGGCCCAGCTCAGACAAACTGTGACATGTTAGTTGTGGAGTTCATGCATTCAGAGCAGTGTTGGTCTCTGTGGACATCGTGTGGCTTCTGAACCAGTGTATTTTACAGAGGGTAGATGGTTTTTTATTTGCCTTGGGTGAGTGGGGCAAGCGCCAACTGGCCTACAGTGACATGGATTAGTTTAGCCTTAAGAACTTATCACTGCCCCTCCTTAAATTCAAGCAGGGTTTCTTCCTTTCTGCAGGCTATGCAGAAATCTTATGCACCAGTGTCTGCTTATATTATGTCTACCTGAATATGGCACAATTATTAGTGCTGGCAAGCTTAGTTCCTATGTGATGTGACTGAAGTAATGGATGGGCCTGGTACATGCAGGATCAGGTTTTGCTGGATCAAGTTTTGCTGTTCACGCTTATGCTGGATCAATATAGAAACATAGTCCTTATGCAGAGGAATGTGCCAGGAGTCAGGAACGTGGGTGGTACTGCTCCTGTAGGAATGAAGATCAGGAGACAGCTCTGCCCAGAAAAAGGGCAAAGCTGTCTTACAGCAAGAAGGATTAATTCATATCCTTGGAAGCATCTTCTGGTTGAGCTGGCATAAAGGCCCTACTCAGGAGAGCAGAAGCAGTAATACCATACACTGAAGGAATACCTCATGGACATTCAGGGATGTAATTAATGTCATCCTTTTCTCTCTTGTATCTGAGGATAAGAGTCTTGCCCATTGTATCAATATAATTTTTTTTCTATGTTTTGCAAACCCCGTGGGCACTGACTGCATACTGAGGGTCTAAAGTGGATTGCTTTTTAACTTTTGGTTCATTTCCAGAGTGTGAATTTGAATGAATTTGCAGAATTAACTGGAAGCATCATCAGAGCTTTGAGATGCAATCTCTAGGCCATGGTACATAGCAAGGAGTAGGGCTTTGAACCAGTTTTGATTATCAATTTTGCAAATGGCTTATTATGACATTTCAAGAAAATTTCTAAGCAGTTGAATGTGTTAGGGAATATTTACAAAAAAGGAGATAGAGCAATGATCTTTTTTTACTATACAGCTAGTTTGCTGTCCTTTCCAGTAAACCACAAGGTTCATTAGTGCTCAGTACTGTTTCGTTTACGATAAATGTTTTTAATGTGATTTTCATAACAAAGTGTAATTAGTGAAACCTTTTATTCAATTTTTCCCTTTATTTGCTTTTTTTAAGGAGAGATTTCTCCTTATATAGTATATATACTTTCTTACAGAGCTTTCTTACCTATTTTTATATAAGATGATTTAACAATGTAAAATGAAATGCTCTATGAGCAAGCTATATCACTGTTAACACAATCAAAAGTGCTAATATAATGACTAAGGGCCTGAACCTTCTGCCTTTTACTCAGGTCCTGGTTTAACCAGATGTCTTTCATGCTGTGTAGGACCTTTCCCTGTAAGCACTTCCATCTATTCCTGGGGATGTCTCAGAGAAAGGCACTATTAACATGAATAACAGTGGTAAAACTGAGCCTCCTCTCCATTCTTAGTGGGACATCTGTCATGAGTAAAGGCTGCTGGCTC